CACTTTTTCTTCATCACCCCCTGACAGTGTAATTGTTTGTGCTGAACACATCCTCCCTCCTCTTGGAGGCTGAGTTCTTCAGAAGCACTGAAAAGATCCAGTCCTGGGACCTTGTACCTTAAGGTCAACTCTCTTCTCTTAGGGTCCTCATTGTTGTCTACGTTCTCTGGGATTATGAGTTGTAAGCTGGTCCTTCGCTTTATTTCCAAAATTCACTTATGAGTGAGTACATATTATATTTGTCTTTCTGGATCTGGGTTACATCATTGAATATGATGTTTCCTAGATCCATCCATTTGCCAGCAAATTTCAAGATATCTTTTTTTCTTGTGTAGTACTCCATTGTGTAAATTTACCACATCTTCTTTATCCATTCTTCAGTCGAGGAGCATTTAGGTTGTTTCCAGGTTCTGGCTATGGCAAATAATTCTGATAGGAACATAGTTGGGCACATGTTTTTGTGGTATGATTGAGCATCCTTTGGGTATATGACCAAAAGTAAGTTGTTTCCTAATTCTCTAAGAAATCATCATACTGATTTCCAAAGCAACTGTACATGAAAATGATCCATATCTATCACCATGCATAAAACTCAAGCCCAAATGTATCAGACCTCAACATAAAACCAGCCACACTGAACCGCATAGAAGGGAATGTGGAAAATATACTTGAACACATTGGCACAGGAGACCACTTCTTAAATGTAACCCCAGTAGCACAGACACTGAGAGAAACGATTAATAAATGGGACCTCCTGAAACTGAGGTCAGCTCCCTTAATTATCTCCTAGCACTCCCCAAGAAACATAGACTCTTAGGAAGGTTCCTTTGTGGTTTCTTCCCTCTGCTTCAGTCTGTCAGTCTTTCTTCAGACACAGCTTCTCAAACCTCTTCCTTTCCTCTATGTATTTTTCTCAAATGAAGCAAATCTAATACATTTTGTTTATACTTTTGAGAAGATACATCCCTTTAGCAAAATATGAATAATGTTGGTCATAATTTATAAAAATAGGACCTAAATTATCAGATCAAGGACCTGAGCTTGTGATTTCAGCATAGAAACCACACATCCCATCCTCATGGGATCTGATGGAAAGTGAAAGTGTGTAGAGAAGAATCCTAAGGAAATACAGTGTGTTTAAAGGAAGACTCTGGTTCTGGTAAATTCAGTGGAGTGTACAGAAAAAAATACAAATAAATATATAAAAGGAAAGATGAAAAGAGAAAAGATTTGCACGCACGGCAGCTTCCAGCATCACAGGCGATCCTATAAACTACAAACAACAGAGTGATCCAACAGCTGTCTTAGAACAGGAGGTGAGGAGGAAAGATACCTTACCTGGTGAGTAGGACAGGTACCCGAGGCTCAACTGCTATCACCAGTTGCATTGCTCTCCTAGTCTCCATAAAGGAACATTCCCAGTAACAATGGCTTTCCAGACATCTTATTACAGGCTAGAGAACTTGGTCAGTGTTTGGTCTGTTGTGCACACATTGTGTTGGGACTATGGTGAGTGTGAAGGTCACCAGGAATCATGGTTCACTGGCCATGCCCATCTCTTTGTTTAATATGAATCCTATAGTAATTCAATCATGATACCCAGGTGAGGCTTTGCCCTGAGTCCAGAGTAACCCACTTTTCAGAGTCCCTAAATTATTTCAGAATCTGCCCACAGTAGAGCTAGTTCTTTTTCTGTGTTATGATCTCCATCTTGTTTGGGACAAAGTACATCTTATATTAAATATATCACAGTCGAAAATACTGTTTTATAGTCAAAGAATTCAAATATGCCTACATACAACACTTATAGAGATTTCTGGGAAACTTTTCTGTGACTTGCAGATGAGCTCAGACGTAGTAAGTGCAGACATTCATGTACCTCTGCTCTTTTTCAGGGTAACTCTGACCTCTCTACTTTCTCAATGCCCCCTTATTTTCATAAGGACACCCGGCAGGGAGGCTTGTGTCTAGTCTCAAACTGAAATCTCTTCAATGTGTGCTTTGACACAGTAATACAGGTTGTGTCATTGGCTTCCATATTATCCATTATAAGGTACAAAATTATACTTGGAATTTTCTTTGATGATGATCAATTGATCCTTGACAGAATTTGCATACTTGATTTGAACACCAGTCTTACATGTATGAGATCCACTCTAGCTCTTCCCATAAGCTTGGCAGATCCAGTGCATATATTAATCACTGAAGGTGAATCCAGATGGCACACAGGAGAGTTATAGGTGCACTCCAGGCTACAACAATCTTCCTACAGTCACCACTAGCTGCATCTTTCACTAGAGACCTACAAACACCACGATTCTGTTCAGGAAACTATCACAACTGTCTAGCTTCCCTCTCATTAAAGTCCACTCACACTCAGCATCTCTTCTTTGTCATAATTTGATTTTTAACAGAGCAATAAGAAAAACTTAGCCCCAATTCCATGGTGAGTGATCTGTGTTCATTGTTTATCACTGAAAAGGCAAAGGTAGAACTCCCCTGCTGGGCTCTTCTGCAGGAGCTGTGAGGTGTGGGCTGATTTTCCTGAGCAGAATGATGTCCCATTTGCATATTTTCATGCTGTATATATTCTTTTGGCCTGAGCTTGGTAGACACTGTAAGAAAGATAGAATTCAAGAAAACCTAACCTTTAATGTAGTAGTGTCCTGTTAGTATTCAACACTGAAACATCCAAGGCTCGTTTTTATCATTATGGCTCATTAGATAGCAGCTACATATTTAAACTTCAGCAAAGAAACATGGTTTTCAGACCAGCATGTTTTTATATAAAACACAACAATGTTATTTTTCTTCAGAAGAAATGTCTGAGACATCATTTTCTGTAACACTTCTCTAGAAACTGAGGGAGGTAACAGACTTTCCTGTTTTCCTGTGACATTTCAAATTGACCTCTTCAGAATATTAATATAAAATGTTTCTATGTCATGTCATAAATTCATTAAATCTGCAGCTAGTTTGCTAATGCTATATTGAACCTGATGTTTTCAGACCATGTAGATTCCTATGGTAAATGGGGGAGCACATGACCTAGAAAGTGGCCAAATCAGGGGCCTCCTTTCTCATTATATCCATGCAGCATTTTTGATAATTTCTGTGTTCTAATATTTAAAACAACATTGAAGAAATGTCTTGAGTGTTAAATCGTGGTCAACTCCAGTAAAAAAAGCTTGAGAAACTCATGTTGGTAGGGCTTATACAGCCCCTCTGCTGCAAGTCACAACATTATACTGTAATTACTCACCCTGGGGGAGGGTTGAAGGGTAGATGAGAGGCAGGGAGGCGAGCAGAGGAAAATGTAGAGCTTAATAAAAATCAATAAAAAAGAAAAGAATACAAGAAAGAAAGAACAATAAAGAGATATAATGAAGAAAAAATGCCTGGGCTTTCTTTACCCCAGTCCTCCCTTTTGTCTGTGAGGTCCTTGAAGCCCAGTAAGAGACCCTGATCCCATGCTCAGGACATCAAGAGTAGTGAGTGAGTGGCCCATGGCCGAATAGTCCCAGGAAACTGAGTCCAGGCCCCCTCCAATTGCCTAACCTTCTCTGGCCATCCAACTGGCATGTTCCCAGCTGCTGGCTTTTTTTTTACCCCATCCCACCTTGCTCTCAAGCACTGTTTTTCATCTGTGGGGTCCTTAGATCCCCCAGCACAGCCTGATTCAGGGCAGAGGGGATCTGAGAGCCAGCTCCAGTGCTGAGGGGACCTAAGAGAGGGCAGACCAAGAAAATCTCCCAAGTACACAGTCAGCCACAGCAAAGATTGGACCAAGATGTCAGGAGTTTGCTGGCCTCATTTAAAGAAAGAGATGGACAGGCACCAATGCAGGAATTCCCCCAACAACCTGAAAAGCAACATGATAACATCAGAATCCAGCAAACACCCAGCAGGAAGATTTGAACAACCTAACCCAGAAGAAATTTTCCAATCAAGTGGACCTAAGAAACAATGGGGACAACCATACGGTTGATAAAGAAACATCATAAGGGTTGGGGCAGGGTTCTGTTCTTGTCTTTGCAGGAAAATATTCATCTTCAAAAATTCAAGAGACCCTATGATGGAGGAAGGTCATTGGTTAAGTAATAAAGAAACTGCTTGGCCTCATAGGTTAAAACATAGGTGGGAGGAGTAAACAGAGCAGAATGCTGGGAGGAAGAGGAAGTGAGCTCAGACTCGACAGCTCTGCTCTCTGGAGCAGAGAGGCCATGCTCCGCTCCTATTACTACAACCCTAGATATATGAATGCTGACAGATGGAAAAATAACTATCCACTAAGGATCATCGAGAAAAGGGATCACGAATTCTTCCTCCTTCCCCATTTCAGGCACCTCGATCTTCTCAAAGACCACCCCCACAGGCAATCACATGTCTAATTTTGACACTATCATGAGGGTTTCATTAGTGTAGCTCTGTAAAATAGCATCTAATACATTCTGCACTATTCCTATAATGCCTACATTTTCTCTACATTGTGTCACTGTTTTTATCCAAAGGGAAAACTTTTTTATCTAGATGTGTAGTTACAGTTTCAAATAGGTTATATGTAATTATTGGTCCATGCCTAGTATGTGTCATGACTTCTGGAGCAGCAATATAGGAAAGGAGAGAAAGCTGCCTATGGAGAGATTCTCAAGCCTTTTAATTTCATTTGATTTACTTGTTCACATTACATATATGTATATAAATACATATAAACATATAGATATGCACATTGCCGCACACACAGAGAAACACACACATATGTATTCATGTACATTATCACTGTTGGGCCATAGAAAAGTGCATACATAACACCACCTGAATGAATCAGAAGAATAGCCCCTATAAGCACAAGCACCACCTGAAACAAAGGAAGAAGAACCCAGTGATGGTTCTCCCAGCAAAAATGCCCTAAACCCTAAGCCCTAAGCCCTAAGACACTCTCCCTGCCTGTCTCTCCCTGTGGGTCTCAGTGAAGAGCACCTGCGAAATGGTCTTCAAACCGCACTTGTCCAGGCCGTGACCCAGGTAGACCTTGAGCTGGTAACACAGAGCATTGATCTCCTGCTTGGTCATCGCGAGGGGTTAACCCCGAAGTTCCCTGTGCACATGCTGGGGGGCTCTTCAGGGAAGAACAGCAGAGAGGGCTCCAGCTGTGAGTTTACCAAGCACAGCTGCTGGTGCATTGACAGCAGAACCTGAAAGAAGAACCTGGCCCAGCTGCACTCTTAAGCAGGAAACTCCAGCTCCACAGTGGCAGGAAAAGTTTGGGGCAGCTTCTAATCAGTGATCAGCAGTGGTGCCTCTTCCTCCTTCACCATTTCAGACACGGCAATCTTCTTGGAGACCTTCTGCAGGCATTCATCACTGGCACCAAAGAAACCACAGGCGCTGCCAGGGCTGTGGTAATTTTCCCACTTCAGATAGACTAGAGGATGCTGTACTTTTCACAGACTTGTTAGGCTTACGTCATCAATTTATTCAAGAATTTCAGCTCCCAGTTATTGCTTTTATCGTTTTTATTCCTCACCCTCATCCCTACCATTTGACACATTGCCTTTTTTGACCACTTTTCTTTCTAGTTCTTTCTGGTTCATGTCAATATGTTGTATTTGTATATGATACATGTGCATGTATATGCAAATGTGTGTATGTGTGTGTTGTGTGTATATATGTGGTGTGTACATGGGAATGTGTATATGTGCATATACAGTATATACGTGTGAATGTATTAGTGTGGGTTTGTGTATGTATGCACGTGTGAAATATCCAGATATGTGCACAAGCAGAGGCCAGAGGTGAAAGCAAGGTATCTTTTTCTATCAGTGCCTTAAAATAAGGTCGTTCCCTCGGTGAACTTGAAGCTTGTACTTTCAGCTACACTGTCTGCCCAAGAAATTCCTGGTTTTCTCTGCTTTCAAACCACAGGCACATGCAATTGTTCTGTGTTTTCCTGTAGGCTTGAGAGACTCTAACTCATGCTTTTCCAGAGTATGTTCCCCACTGACCCATTTCTCCAACTTGAAGACAACGTTGGACAAGGATGAACTCACAATCAAGTCAGTCTACTTGTGGAGATGTCTGGCTCACAAATCCTTCATATTATAAACAGGGAAAACAACACGAATTTTCTCTCACTCTTTTTGTCTCTTTTAATTTCTCTGTTTTCCAGTTATGTCATGGCATAGTACTTAAGATAGAAAGGATTAGATTTTTGCTTTGTTTTATAATAAGTGGGTCATTTGGATTATAATTAGGAGTTTTATGTGTATTCTAATTGCCTTGTATCCTTTCTCCCACATGTGTTTTGTTGGTATGTACAATATACTCTCTGGTTCTCACATATAATTTGGCATTTTATGTGGTTAGGATATACTCAGATCTGGCATTCTGATGTAATTCAATAGTCTATAGGTAGCCAAGCTAACTGTGATTTTGAATGTACCTATTTAACATATTTTACTTTGAGATTTTCATATATTTAGTACTGTGTATTTAAAATAATTAATTAATATTATTATTATGTATGTACATGGATGGTATAATGTATGCCCACATATATACTGGATGCACACCTGTGAATTTCATGAAGAGGATAGAGGGGGTCATCTTGTGCCCATTTTGCTCACTCTGCACCTTATTCCCATGACATAGACTCTAACTGAATCTGGATCTCCTCTGGCAGCCAGTCAGACTCAGCCACCTTGACTCTATGTCTCACAGTGCTGGAGTTGCAGGTATATATACATGGACACCAAACTTTAACCTGGGTGCAGGGGATAGGAACACGGGTCTCATACTTGATGGAGAAGTGGAAGCCATGGAACCAGCTGTGCCACCCACTTGTAGTGTAGCTTCACTTGCCCTATGCCAACCACATGTGGTCACACTGCCAGTCTGGATGAATGACACCATCTCTAGCACGCTCGGTGGTTGTTGCAGTTTCTTTCACTCCTCAAATGACTTAGTTTTCTTGTACCATATATCATTTTATATTTCTCATTCTAGCCGCTTAAAATAGTTTACCTTTGCCCTGTGGGACTGGAGAGGGAGGGGGAAAAATGGGGGGATGGGGAAAAGAGTGGGGAGGGGGAGGAGTGGGGGGGAGGAACTGGGAGGCGGAGAGGAGGTAGAAATTTTTTCAATAAAAAAATAGTTCATCCCAGACGCGGCGGAGCGGCGGCGGCCAGACGCGGCGGAGCGACACCGCATACAGGAAGAGGCTTTGGGGACTGGCGCAGTGGCAGACCCAAACAGCGGGGACAGGCATGCAATAAGGAGAGCAGATCGCCCTACTACAATTGAATCAAAGAGGTAGGCCTTTGGTTGGCCAGGTCACTGGCACACGGGGAGCCTGGTCCTGTCCTGAAGATCCTTCAGAGGGGTGAGAGGGTTCTTGGCCTGCAGCAGGAACCACAAAAGAGAGTGAGGGCATTTTGTAAGCAGAGCCCTTGGCCAGCAGGGAAACCTGATCCGGTTTTTAAAAGACCCATTGGATAGGATCAATAGGAGGAGATGGGGAGGCACCAAGGCAAGAATTCAGCCAATAATCTGAAAAACAACATGAAAACACCAGAACCCAATGATCTTACAACGGAAGTATTTGAACAACCTAACACAGAAGAAGTGGAAAAAATTGACTTTATGAAGACAATAGAGTCCCTTAAACAACATGTAAAAAAGGCCCTTATAGAAATGGATGAGAAGTATAACAAAAAGTTTGAAGAAATGAGTAAATATGTACATGATACCCTGGGAAACCAAGAAAAAACCATCAAACAGGTAATGGAAACAGTTCAGGAATTGAAAACTGAAATGAAGGCAAGGAAGAAAATACAAACTGAGGACCAGCTGGATATGGAAAATCTAGGCCAACGAGCAGAGTCTACAGAAACAAGCATAATCAATAGAATACAAGAGCTAGAAGAAAGAATCTCAGATGCTGAGGACACCATAGAGAAAATAAACGAACAGATCAAAGAAAACAGCAAAGCCAACAAATTCTCAACAAAAAACATTCAGGAACTATGGGACACAATAAAAAAGCCAATCCTAAGAATAATAGGAATAGAAGAAGGAGAAGAGTCACAGCTCAAAGGCCCAGAAAATATTTTCAACAAAATTATGGAAGAAAACTTTCCCAACTTAAAGAAAGATATTCATTTAAATATTCAAGAAGCATACAGAACACCAAACAGACTGGATAAAAGAAAAACATCTCCTCACCATATAATAATCAAAACACAAAATATACAGGTTAAAGAAAGAATATTAAGAGCTGCAAAGGAAAAAGGTCAAGTAACTTATAAAGGTAAACCGATCAGACTTATACCTGAATTCTCTATGGAAATTATGAAAGCCAGAAGGTCCTGGATAGAGGTTCTGCAGAAGCTAAGAGACCATGGATGCAAACCCAAACTACTATACTCAGCCAAGTTATCGTTCATTATCAATGGAGAAAACAAGACATTCCAGGATAAGAACAAATTTAAACAAAACGTAGCCACAAATCCAGCCCTACAGAAAGTAATAGAAGGAAAATCGCAACCCAAGGAATACAACACTGCCAACACTGGCTACAATAACCCAGGCATCTAATGACCCTTCACCAGCACATCTCAAAGAAGGGAGACACACAATCTCTACTACCAAAAGCAAAAGAATAACCGGAGTAAACAACCACTGGTCATTAATATCACTTAATATTAATGGGCTCAATTCACCTATAAAAAGGCATAGGCTAAAAGATTGGATACGAAAACAGGATCCAACATTCTGCTGTTTGCAAGAAACACATCTCAACCACAAAGACAGGCACCTACTCAGAGTAAAGGGTTGGGAAAAGGTGTTTCAAGCAAATGGTCCTAAGAAAAAAGCAGGTGTGGCCATACTAATTTCTAACAAAACTGACTTCAAACTAAAATCAATCAGAAGAGAACGAGATGGTCACTTTATACTCAAAACAGGAACAATTCATTAGGAGGACGTCTCAATCCTGAATATATACGCCCCCAATATAAAAGCACCTACTTATGTAAAAGAAATAGTGTAGGAGACTTCAACACACCTCTCTCTCCAAGGGACAGGTCAATCAGACAGAAACCTAATAGAGAATTAAGAGAATTATTGGAGGTAATGAAGCAAATGGACTTAACAGACATCTATAGAACATTCCACCCAAATAGGAAAGAATATACCTTCTTCTCTGCAGCTCATGGAACCTTCTCAAAAATAGAACACATACTTGGAAACAAAGGAAACCTCCACAGATACAAAAAAATATCAGTGTCCTCCTGTGTCTTATCAGATCATCATGGATTAAAGTTAGAAGGCAACAACCATGCTGCCCCCAAAATACCGACAAACTCATGGAAACTGAACAGTCAACTACTGAACCACACCTGGGTGAAGGAAGAAATCAAGAAAGAAATTAAAGTCTTCCTCGAATTTAATGAAAATAAAGGGACAACATACTCAAACCTTTGGGACACAATGAAAGCAGTGCTAAGAGGAAAGTTCATAGCACTAAGTGCCCACTTAAAAAAAACGGAGAATGCATACATTGGGGACTTAACAACACACCTGAAAACTCTAGAAAAAAAAGAAGCAGACGCACCTAGGAGAAGGAGAAGACTGGAAATAATCAAACTGAGGGCTGAAATCAACAAAATAGAAACACAGAAAACAGTCCAAAGAATCAATGAAACAAAAAGCTGGTTCTTGGAGAAAATCAACAAGATCGACAAACCCCTATCCAAACTAATCAAACGACAGAGAGAGAACACGCAAATAAATAAGATCAGAAATGAAAAGGGGGATATAACCACAGACACAGAGGAAATTCAGAGAATCATTAGATCTTACTACAAAAGCCTGTATGCCACAAAACTGGTAAATACAAAAGAAATGGATATTTTTTTAAATAAGTACCATATACCAAAGCTAAACCAAGACCAGTGAATGATCTAAATAGACCGGTTACTCGCGAAGAATTAGAAATGGTTATCAAAAAACTCCCTTCGAAAAAAAAAAAAAAGCCCAGGACCAGATGGTTTCAAAGCAGAATTCTACCAAAA